CGGGCCCCCGCCAGGGCCAGGCAGGGCTCAGAAGACCTGGTCTGTGTGTACCTGGAGCAGGCAAGCCCCTGGGCCTGGACCCAGCAGCAGGCTTCCCTCCGCCCCCTGCAGACCCCACCGGCTCCTCCCTTCCCTCCATCCTCAGACTCAGCACCTCTTGCTCCTGCAGAAGCTGGAGGGAGGAGCGGGCCTGTTGCCCATTAGACCAGTTCTGATTTCTCCACGTGCAGCTGTGAACCACGCATCCCAGGCCTTGGGAAGCTGCTGAAAGAGGTGATTCCTGGGCTCCATCCCATCCTTCCAAGCCGGCCCTGGGGCTGGGCCCAGGACCTGGGATTTCTAACAAGTACCTGGTGATCTCCAGTGGAGAACCCTGGGCACCCTGAATGCTCAGTACTTACGTTTGGGATGTGGGGTCTTCCACCCACCCCGATAGGGATGCTCTGCCCAGGAACCATGACCCAGCGGGAGGCTTTCCTGCCTGAGGTCAGCCCAGGGCAGGTACACACTGGGCGGCAGGGAGTCGCCCCTCTGATCTCCTCACACAGCCAGGCATTCATTCCAGGCTTTGGAGGAAGGATGGAGACAAGCGTGGCTCCTTCCTGGTCGAGAAAGAGTTAATTGCCTGTGGGTGCTGGTGAGGAGCTGGGGTGAGGGGCAGGAAGCCACTGGTGCAGGTGGGTCTCTAAAGGGAAGAGGAAGGGTTTAGGGCAGGAACCTACAGGAACCTCAAGGTGACCCTGAGTCTGGCCCCAGAGCTACTATTACTTTTCTTTCTTCTTCTTTTTTTTTTTACAGTGAAACTGGGGGCGGGGGTTAGGGGGTGGAGAGGGGATAGCTTGCCCCTTATACAAAACTTGGAGGGAAAAAGAAGAAAATAAGTCATTCATCTTCTCACCGCTACCCAGAGACCCTCATCAGTGCATTTGGTTGTTTCCTTTCAGTCTTTCTTCTCCGCATCATTTGCTGGTGTTCTTTCACAAATCATGTTGCCTATACAACTTCATATCCTGCTTTTCCCACTTCGCGATTACTGCAGATAAGCAATTCTCCATGTTTTCACAGACCTTTTATAAATAAAGTGTTTATCAGCTGTGTCATATTTCGCCATGTCAGGGCACTTTAATTTCATTGTTCTCTTCCACTAGATAACCTTTTTCCATTTGTGCTTTGGGCAAGGCTCTATCTGCACTTGGAGATTTCCTTACGAAGGATTTGCGTATGTGAAAGTGACGGGTCATAGGGCATAAATATTTTTGAAGTTGCTAATACCTATCGCTAAACAGCTGACAAAAGAACAAAGCTGAGATGTGCCAAATTAAATTACAGCCGGCAGGAGAGTGAGCATAGAGACAGGAATGGTTAACCAGTGAATTATTATACTAGAAGTGGTGAGTTAATTAACCAGTTAATGGCTGCGGGCCGACTGACAAAAGACTGCTGACATTCCTGAATGTTTTTGGAGCTTAGAGTCAACCTCCGGGCATCGACCAGCTGACCCCAGGCATCACCGCATCCTGCGTATGAACAAACGACCGTTCTGGACTGTTGCCCGAAACCAATCAAAAGAAGCGAAAATTTCTTCCTTCCCCAGGAGGTGCTCCTATCACAGAACTGTCCCTGCTTCACCTTATCTCAGCCCCCTTCTGTAGCCAATGCAAATTCTGTCCAAACAAACTGCATCTTTCTTCCCCAAAACAAAATATAGAAAAACGCTCGTGGGCTCCAGGGTAAGGGACAGGTTGCCTTCCCGCCCGAATCATGCTGTTGGTGGTTCAGACCTCAGGCTCAGGACCTGGTCCTTCTCTGGCTACAATATGGCCCAATACCCACTTTCTTTTCAAAAAGGGGTTCAGGAGGTTAGTTGGGCCGGGACGGGGGTGGGGGGGATCCACCGCCGTTGACCCCAGGGCCTCTGTCATGGCTCTGCGCTCCCCCATGGCCGTGGGTCTCAACAAGGGCGACAAAGTGACCAAAAACATGAGCCGCTGCCGTGGGCGCCTCACCACGCACCTCACCACGCACCTCACCACGCACACCCCGTTCCTGCAGGACACGATCTCAGAGGTGTGTGGCTCTGCCCACCGTGAGCAGTGCCCAGTAGAGTGGCTCCAGGTCTCTAAGGACAAGGGGGCCCTGCAATTTATCAAGAAAAGGGTGGGGACACACATCCACGCCAAGAGGAAGAGAGAGGAGCTGAGCAATGTCCTGAGGCCACAAGGAAGACAGCAGCCCAGAAGGACTGAGCCCCACCCCCGTGTGTGATAAAACCTGTTCAGGGGGGCGGAAAAAAAGGCATTCAGCCATGGAAGTTAGGTTTTCTTTGTGGCTGTTTAACACAGCTTCCGGAAACGGCAGCACCAACTTCACTCCCACAGGGCCACACCATCAGCATTTCTCAAAGCCTCTACCCGCCCCCCACGCCCCCCCCACCACCATCCCTGTGGGTGTGGCCGGAGGAGCTGCCCCTAACCTAGCCGGCACATGGAGCCCAGCAGGTAGTCTAGCCTAGAGTAATCTTTTATGTCGTTTATACCTTTGCCTTGATCTAGCCCTGGAATTTATAAGGTTTGTGAAATGTGTAGCTTGTCATTTGCTAAAAGTTTCACAAAAAGACCAAGCCGTGTTCAGCTAAAACTGCTGATGATTGCCAGTGAAAGGTTAAAGTTGGTGAGGCCCGGGCAGGCTAAGTAAGCCTTCTCAGATGGAGGATAAAGAAAAAATGAATTTATCTAAGGAAAAGAGGACGGGGCGGGGGGGGGGAGTGTGATGGAGATATCCAAAGAGAAGGGCTACACAGCACTGAGCCAAAGGGTACTGGGTCCATGATGGCAGCAAAAACACACATAGGACAGTGAGACCAGGAAGGGCATAGGAGAAGCCACAGGAGAGCCTAGGCGGGGCCGCTCTGGCTCCCTGAGAAGTCAGGGAAAAGGGGGCCTTGGAGACAGGCTCAGGGGGTGAGCCCGGGAGGAGCTGCCGCTGCCCATTGCTCTCCCGGTTGTAAGTGTCGTGGGGTCCCTTACAGCAGGGGTCGCCAACCGGTGGTCCGCAGGCCTCTGGTGGTCTGTGCGGTCCGAAGGTTGGTGACCACTGCCTTAGAGGTTAGGAGATATGTCCCTGTCCTTTGTCCTGAGCAGATTTCCTCCTCTCTCTCTCTCTCTCTCTTCTCCCCCCTCTCCTCTTTCCTCTCTCCCCTCTCTTCTCTCTCTCTCCTGGAAATCTTAGGGAGGTCTCAGGGGAGCGTCTCCAAAGAATATTCATCAGCTTGCCAGCTGTGCTCCTTCAGAGTCATGGTCTCCACTGATTGGTGGGTCAGGGCAGGGGATCATTAGCCGGTGTCAGGGCAGCGGGTCCTGAGGCAGCCAAGGTGTCACTTGTCTAGTTTTGCTGCTTTTCTGGGCCTTGAGCTGAACTATAACTGAGGCCCAGACGTTATCTTTCGGGAGGAAAGGGGGTCTAAACCATAAGACAGCGATATGCTGGGGAGGAGAGGATACCTGGGGACCAGGCTTTTGTTTTTCCATTTTGCCCCTTGCCAGGCCTCCAGAGCTTTCTGCCCTGAGTTTCTGTACCTGGCCCACGGTCCTTGCTCTGCGCATGTCTATCTAACAGCCAGGACTGCTGGTCAGGCCCAGGCCCAGGATGTTCTGAAGGACCAGGGGGTGAACCAGCTGAAGCAGCTGGCAGGACCCTCTAGGGGCTTCCTCATGAACTTCCTCACTGTGCCCTCCTTATACCCTCAGAGGTGCTTTGGGGCACCTGTGAAGTGAGAGTGAGGTGCTCTTCACCTACAAAACTTTGAAAACATGACTGGCACCCAGCACTGGCCGCTGGGAGGGGTGCCACAGTGACCTGAGTGGGGCCCATAAGCCTGGTACAAAAGCAGCAGATCTGCCCATCTTGATGGGACCACATGGGTTTACCAATCTATACCCTCCACTCCCTCCCCCCAAAAAAGCTTGCTGGCGCCCAGAGAAGTAGAGGGACCTGCTGAAGACCACAGAGCCAGTTCCAGGTGATGCTGAGTGGATTAGCCATGGAGTCCTGGTTCCCTGGCCCTGAGAACGCTCCCAGGCTACTGGATACAACCATTTAGAAAGAGCATCTTGGGGGAGGTGGAGTGTGGAATGGCGGGACTGGAAATTTCAGAAGACAGCACAGAACACAAGACATGTCACTCAGAATCCGTTCCAGAACCACCTGTGCCGTTCCCTGCTTTCGCCCTCTCCAGAAGCCACCTGCCGACCCCAACCAAAGACAAACAGCCCTGCCCTAGCCCAGTGGTTCTCAACCTTCCTAATGCCACGGCCCTTTAACACAGTTCCTCATGTTGTGGTGACCCCCAATTTCATTGTTACAAATTGAACATAATGAGAACATAGTGATTCATCACAAAAACAATATGTAATTATATATGTGTTTTCTGATGGTCTTAGGCGACCCCTGTGAAAGGGTTGTTCGACCCCCAAATGGGTCGCGACCCACAGGTTGAGAACCGCTGCCCTAGCCAGTTTTGCTCAGTGGGTAGATTATCAGCCTGTGGACTGAAGGGTCTCAGGTTCTATCCTGCCCAAGGGCACATGCCCGGGTTGCAGGCTCGATCCCCAGTGTGGAGTATGCAGGAGGCAGCCGATCCATGATTCTCTCTCATCATTGGTGTTTCTATTTCTCTCTCCCTCTCTGAAATCAATAAAAAAATTAAATAAAAAATTTAAAAAATACAAACAGCCCAGATGCCTTTGCTTTCAAATTTAATCAACGGAAAAGAAAGAAAACCAGTCAGACAGAAAGCTCAGGAACTGGATGGCTGAGGGAGGGGCGGGGGAAGGGGAAATGGGTTCAGACTGTGGGGGGCAAGGGCCTCATTATCCTGAGGTCCCTCAAATACAAGCGTCCACAGTGGGAGGAGGGAGGACAGAGTCAGAGCTAACTCGTGGGTGCACACACCTGTTCCGTGGAGTGGGGCTTATGCAGGGGAGGTAGCACGCTGTTCAGAGAGGGATGGGGACAGGAGAGGGGCCCAGCCCTGCCCCCTGGGGATCACTAGAGGTGAAGGTGCCAGAGAGCATCAACACTGGAGATTCACCCTAAAGGGCCACCTGCCAACCCCCCAGCAATGTGCCCAGCTCCCCCCACCCGACCCCATCTTTTGGTCAGAGGTTAACCAGGTGAGGTGGGACCTGGCAAAGGACGCCCCATTTTCCTCCCACTCCCACTCCCCTTGGGCTGAGGGTGAGGGTGATGTAAGAGTTGAATTAAGGATAAAAAGAAGGCTGAATAAAGGGAAAAGAGGAGTATAAAGATGACTGCATAGTGGATGTGGAGCTATGCAAATGAGATGGGAGCAGACTTGACCCTGACATCTCATTTGCATATCATATGCAAATGCAATGAGATCCCTAATATAATAAATATATTTCTAACTTTGTAATAAATATTCTGTTTCTTCTCCCTCCCCTTCCCTAGGAAATGGGCACACAGTGGTTCAGGGGCCAGCTTGGGCTGACGCTGCAGCGAACATGACTGACATTCAGAAGGACTGGGGGGCACAGGGGCTGGGGCAGTGATGGCGAACCTTTTGAGCTCGTCGTGTCAGCATTTTGAAAAACTCTAACTTAACTCTGGTGCCGTGTCACATATAGACATTTTTTGATATTTGCAACCATAGTAAAACAAAGACTTATAATTTTGATATTCATTTGATATATTTAAATGCCATTTAACAAAGAAAAATCAACCAAAAAAGTGAGTTCGCATGTCACCTCTGACACGAGTGTCATAGGTTCGCCATCACTGGGCTAGGGGATCCCCTAGCAAGGACAGGCTCACCCAGGAAGGATCACAGAGAAGGATGAGGGATGAGATGCCTGGGGAAGTTGAGGACAGCATTCTTTTCTCAAAAGGGACTCTCACCCTGGCTAGTATGACTCAGGTGGTTGCAGTATCGACCCGTACACCAAAAGGTTGTGGGTTCAATTCCTGGTCAGGGCACACACCCAGGTTCCAGGTTCACTCACCAGTTGGGGCACATGGGAAGACGACCAATCAATGTTTCTCTCTCTCTCTCTCTCTCTCCCTTCCTGTCTCTAAAAAAAACAAAAGGGAGTCTCCTATTTTACACAATTGCCCTCACCAAGGACAGGAGAGTGGCATTTAGGGTCAGGGGACAATAAAAGAGCTGGAGGAAGACATCTGGGCGGGTCAAGGCTCTAGAATCTGGGATAAGTGTCTCATAAGACAGGGAGCTGCTGGGAAACCCTGAAAAGGGGACCCAAAGAGTGACCTCCAAAGTGTCTCTTGTCCAAAAACCAAGCACACTGAAACACATATGCCAGTGGCAGAACCCAGACCGGGGGGTCGCATGTGGACGTAACCTGCACAGAAACAGTATGGATGGCACCCCCTGGCGTTGGGCAATGAGGAGCCTGTCAGAGCACAGTGCTCACAGCTTCCCTCCGCATCCTTCCTGAGCCCCCCCCCACGCCCCCATCAGTCCTGACACTAGTGGACCACGTGGGCCTGGCCAGAGCAAAGACCACATGGACAATGGTCGTGAACAGGGAGCCCAGGTGTGTCCTCCCCATGGGCCATGGAGAGCTTGGAGCTCTTCGGTCAGTAGTGGCAGGCTCCTGGGGACAGGGCTCAGCCTCCAACCCCCCTGGCCTGGGCTGTGCCTGCTGCCCCCTGCCGGCCTGGCCCTGCGGGCACATTGGAGAAGTCCGCGGAGAGACTTCGGCAGTGAAAAGCTGTGGATGAGGGAGATACCGGGCAGGGTCCACTGGCAGGACTCTGCCTCGTTCCTGGGAGCAGAGAGCTGCACTGCTCCCGGCTGTGACAACTGGCTCATGCTTTGGCTCCTGCAGCCTTCTGGATGGCACCAGGTTGGCCCCACTGCCAGGCCTGCCTGGCTGCCAGGGGGCCTTGCACTCCCCTGGCCACATAGAAAAAGCCTAAGGCCTGCTCCTAGGACAGAGGGGTGAGAGGTGGGAGGAGCTCGGGAACAGGGTGGGGTGGCCAGTCCAGAGGAGAGAAGGTGACTGGAGAGAGGTGGCGGGGCAGTGTACCTACTGACCACGTGGTCCCAAAGCATCTTCTCTTCTCTGGTCTGAGCCTTTGGGCAGTGACTCTGACACACTCCTGGGCACAGCGTGGCCCTCAAGAGGAACATCTGGTGGCTAATGGGCATCAGGAGAGGGCAGCACCTGGGCACAGAGGTACCCCACGAACACCCACCTCCCTGGCAGTGCATGCCTCTGCGCCGAAGCCAGACTCGGGGCCTGCGAGGAGCTGCTTCCCAGGGAGCCAGAGCCCCAGGGACTGGAGCTCAGGACTGTGGCTGAGGGTCATGGCTGGGAAAGGGATGGATTCAGGTCTCTGGGTCACAACCCAGAGGGGACAAGGTCCAGTGGAGCAGGCTCAGTACACCCAGCTGACAGGCACCCACTGGGGCTCCGTCCGCAGCTTCTCCATGGCGGCCTGGAGCTCGCGGAAGGTCCTCTCCAGGTTGCAGTTGACCAGGCTGAGGTCAAAGTAGTGCCCGTAGCCCCTCTGGATGCGGCTGCTCTCCTCCACCGTCCGTCTCAGGTCCGCCTCCTGCCAACACAAGGGGACCTCCCGCCGGTCAGTGTCCCCCACTCACCCCCATCATCAGAGGGGTCTACAGCCTGCCCCGCCTAGTCCCCTCCCCCAAGGCCAACCATGGTGGGCACAGACTCCCTGGCTTGGAGCCCCTCCCGACATGTCCCAAGGCGCTCTCCTGCAACCATGGACAGACACACAGGTAAAAGGAAGGAAGGAAATAGCCCTTAGTAAGAGCCAAACATGGCACTAACATCTTTACAGCTCGCCAAATTTTCACTACGGCTCTGCAAGGCAGGACTCATTATTCCCCATTTACAACAGAGAGAACGGAGGTACGAGTTCACATCGTCAGTCAGGGCTACACAGAGCCTGCCTGACTCCAAAGACAGTGCTCCCTCCAGTCCGATCAGGCAGCCCCGAGAGGCACGTGTCAGACCTGGTACTGGTGCAACCCATCAGTGCCCGCCCAAGGCAACCCCCACCCCAGACCCAGTCCAAGCTGGTCAGGCAGGGGTGAGAAGGGACTTGAACTCTGACTTAAATAAGTGGAGATGGGAGCGCTGGGCTGGCCCAGCATGTCCCAGCAGCACCAGTCCTCGGTGTTTGTGGCCAGGGTGGCATGCAGCAGAGGGCAGCCCCACCCCAACAGCCTCTCCAAGGCCTGGGCAATGCTGCCATGAGGGCCGAGAGCGGCAGTACCAGGTATGGCCAGCAGAGGGACACCTGCGCACGGAGCTCTGCAAACCCTATACCTCTAGGAACATGCTACTCCAAGAGGGGGGTGCCCTGGAGTCCTGCAATACCTGATTTGAACCCTCTCCTCCCAGCACCGCTGCCTCCCTAAGGCTAACTCATCCCTCTAGCCAGCCCTCCAGCCTTTCCCAAGTTGTAAATAGCCCAGAGTCCCCCTGCCTCTGCCCACAGATACCCCACTGGCCTCTGGGCTCCCTGTGGTCAGCACTGTCCCCAGAGTGGATCGCGCAGTGAGCCTGGCAGAAGCTCCTGCACCCTGGCTAGCTGTGCCCCTGAGTCTTTGGGAATCTAGGCACTTCACCTCCTTGCTCAGGCTTCCGTTTCCACACCTATAGGTGGGAACTTCGAGTCCTCCTTCACTGACACCTGGGGTGGGTGCTCTCCCCTCCCTCAACACCCCTTCTCCTTATCAACGCTGATCTGCCCCCTCCCACCGCACCTCAGAGCCCCTCACCGTGAGCTGCTTAGTAGACACCCCACTTTCCAGTGCAGCCCGGTTCATGGCCCGAAGGGTCTCATAATCAGGGGCCTCGATGAACACCACGTAAGGGACAAACTCCGCTGTTCTCAGCACCTTCACCGCCTGCAGGAGAGAAAGGTGCATGTGGGGTGATGGGGGTGAAGATGGGAATGAATGGGACATCCGTCCTGGAGATGGATGCTAGGTGAACAGCTGGCAAGTAGCTGGGGATGGGGTAACTGGAGGAGACTAGAGGAGCTGGGGATCTTGGAGGCTGAGAGAGAGGGTCTAAGGGGGCTTGGTCCCTGCAGTAGCTGAGGGGGCGCTTGGGAGATAAGTGCCTGGAAATATAGGGAGGAGCGCTGGGGGAATCAGAGGACCCAGAAGGGATACTGGGCAGACTGGGAAAAGCAGGCAGCAGTACCTGGGGGTTGACATCCAGCACGCACACCTTGCCGGCAGCGACCACACCCCGGATGGAGTCGATACGTGTGCCATACAGGTTGCCCTCGTATTCGCCATGTTCCAGGTAGCGCCCAGCACGGATGTCAGCCTCCATCTCCGCTCGGGACACAAAGCTGTAACCCTGGCCTTCCCGCTCTGAGTCTTTGGGCCGCCTGGATGTGTCTACAGGAAGGAGGGGCCGAATGGGCACTGCTGCAGACACACATGCACATGTGCTACCTGCATCCCACAGCCCCAGGGGGCGGGGCATGCTGCCCTCACATGCTCAGTTCTGCTGCCTTCCCACACACCGTGCCCTCACCCTCTCCACTGGCACACACAGACTGTAGACATTCATGTGGAGAGAAACCAGCCCAGTGCTCAAGAGGGGGAGCTGCGGCCCAGAGAGGGCAATGCAGAGCCATAAAGCAAGCCCAAGCTGACCTGGTTCTTGCCCCCAGGAAGCAGGAGCTTTCACCCCAACGGTTGTGTCACCAAGAAGCCCTGTCTTTCGTCAGGCCACACACAGCCAGATCCCTGCTTCACATCAGTGCCCACCTGGGCTTTTAGCAGGTGAAACGTGAGAAAAGGAAAGGCAAGGCCAGGGCAGCCCCTCTGGCCACAGGCTCAAGGGACAGCCCCCAAAACATCCCAGCCTGCAGTTCCCCCACTAGCCCATAGAGGGCGCGGGCCCCACACCTCACACCTGAAGTGCTACTTAACGTGATGCCCATGCATATGCCCATTCAGTGGACCCAGTGCTGGCCTCCAGGGCATTCCCACTCCTGACCCCCGCCCAGCAGGCCCAGCTCCCACTCACAGGGCACCGTGGTGCCATAGCGGTCTGGATCCCACATGATGAGCTTGTTCTTCAGGCTGCGCCGACCCACACCCTGAGCCCCGATCAGCACCAGGGTTTTCCGGCGGAAAGGAGGCATGCGGGCCACCTCCTCATAGATGAGCAGCTCATGGCGGTCGAACTCTGGACACAGGGAGATGGCGCTGCTCAGCAGGCTGTTCATCGGGTGAAAGGGGTGGGGCTGGGTTCCCAGGGGCCGGGGGCAGCAGGAAGAAGCTGGGCAGGGTCAAGGGACAAGCCTGGCAGCATCAGAACCAGGGGAGGATACGCACAAGTAGGGTGGGGGCAGAGAGGGGATGTGCCATGTTAGAGGAGGACGGGGAGGGCGCCTACAACACCCACCTGCATTCTTGGTGGTCAAATACATCATTCGTTTCTTTTTTTTCCCCGAAAGGCTGCCGCATAGGGTCCCTGGCCATAGAGAGATGGGTGAGTGCGGCCAGGCTGAGATGCAGTCAGATCCCAGAGGAGGACCAGGGGCGATACCTGAGTTGGGCGTCAGCTCCAGATCCCGTTTAACGAAGGCTTTGCGCTTCTCCTCCAGCAGCTGGCTGGGGATGAGCCCAGCACTGCCTCCCTCCACGTGGCATGCCTAGAATAGACATGGGCAAAGCTCTGAGTGAGGGGACACCTCCCAAGCCCTCACCTACCCCACACCATACCCAGAGAGACGACAGGGGCACCCAAGGCTCACCTGCCACCAGTTAGCATCATCCTGGTTTACTATCTGGAGTAGGTCCCCGGCGTTGAAGCGCAGGCCCGCTTCCTTGCAGGGGATGAGGCTGTCTCGGGCTGGGTCATAGTCAAAGTGGCATTTCACAAATACCTGGACCAGGGATCAGGGAAGGGTCAAGGGAAGAAGCAGGGGAGGCTGGAGGGGATGGGCCCTCTCCCATCCCCCACCCCACCATCCCCAACCCCTCATGGAGGGGGGGTGTCATACAGTCCACCCTCTTCCCCCCTTCCCTCACAAAGATGAGAGAGGCCCTGGTACTGCCCCTTTAATAAAGGCAGGATGCCCCCAGGCCTGCCTGGCCCGCCTCCCTGGTACAAGCCTCCCTTTGATCTAGAACAAAAGGACTCAATCAGAAGGATGGGAACTGTGCTCAGGCCTGGGGCGTGGCCCACCTACTGAGGAGGCAGGGTCACCGGGTAAAGGATAGAGCCCCTATCACCTGATGCAGGATCCCTCCATCCATTCACCTCCTCCCCTTGGAGGTAGGGGCTCTGGCAGACGCTAGAGAGCCAATAGAAGTAGGCAAAGCAGCCAGACCTCCACAATCCACCAACAGAGAGGCGGCTGTACAGGACACCTGGCAATCCGACTCTGCGCCCCCACACAGACACACAGGCAAGCATGCAGCCACACACCAGGCACTCGCTGGTACACCTGGGTACCACAGGCCTTGAATGCACACACACGTCCCTTGCACATGCACACGGTGCCCAAGACGAGGGCAAATGCGAGTGTGTGCACAACACGCAGATGCCTGCAGGTGTCCTGGTCACTTGCCTCCCCAGCCGCAGATCCTGCCCGCTAGTTTGCTTTTCAACGCTGGTTGAAGAGTTGCTCCCACCCCAGGCCTGTGACCCTGATAGGGAGGTTCAGCTACCCCTGGTGCTGGGTGGGGACCTGGGTGGAGGGATTCACCTGGCGGGGCAGGTGGGGCTCCTGGTAGCTGGGCAGGATCTTGAGGATGACGCTGCCGCTGGCGCTGCGCAGGAGCTCCTGCAGCGCACGGGGATCGCTGCCCACGGGCTGCCCATTCACCTCTTTGATGATGTCACCCACATGCAACAGGCCTTGCTGAGCCACCATCCCCCCATGCAGGATGCGTGCGATCACCAACTCGCCACCCTCCACGCGGAATGTCACTCCCTGGGGGATGGAGAGAGGGTAAGATGAGCCCCACTGCTCCACGTCATAATCCTCTAATGGAGATTGGAAGATTCCAGTATCCCCGTTTAGATCTCTAAGACCCCCTGTTCCCATCCCTACCCCCCCACCCCCCACGTAGCCCTCACAGACTTCCCCTCTTCCATCCTCTGCCCAAATTCTTCACTTATGGGAGCACTAAAGGCGGGAAAGCGGGCAGAACGAAGAAGGTTCTGGCACATGTATGTTTGCAGCTCATATGCACAGTCTGTGAGCCCCTGGGTCTGCATGGGCAGATCCCTGGGCAGAGCTGATTCTACCTACTAGTTACTCTCAATCCCCCCATCCGAACTGCACATCTGGCCCTGCCCAGCACCCTCACCAGATGTTCTCCAGCAGTCTTGCGGATGCCCACCATGCGCACCGCGTCGGGAGGCACCGGCTGGTTGCTGAACGTGGGATCCAGGCCGGGACTGGGGGGTGGTGTCTCATAGGTCTTTGAGGCAACAGAGTCATGCGTCTCCAGGAGGGACTGGGGAGGTGGTGGGAAGAGAAGGGACCATGGGCCAGTGCCCTGCAGTCCCTTTCCATTCCACCTCCCACTCCCTGCCGGCCCCTCCCCCAAGGGCCTGCCCCAGTTGCACCCCAGCCTGGAGGGAACCTGAAAGTGAGGCTCCTGGAGGATGCGGGCCAGCTCAGCGGCCGTGCTGCTCCGTTCGGCCAGCTGCGCCAGGTCCCGAAGGATCTCCTGCACCAGCTCCAGGTTGTTGTCCCGAACAGCCTCCAGCTTCGTCTCCTCCAGCCTCTCATGGGCCTGGGGGTGAAGGTGGAACAGGTGAAACCTGATGCTTCCCCAAGAGCCCTGGTACCAAACCGTGCCCCCCATTTTCCCTCAGGCATCTCCCCATCCCCAAATCCTGATTTTAGGCCCTTACACAAAAGGGAGAACACTATATACACTCTTAGATCTCTTGGGTTTTTGTTTGGTTTAGTAGGTTTGGTTTGTGTTTTGGTTTTTAACTTAATATGCCCTGGAAATCACTCTGTGCTATAATATGGAGATTTTCCATTATTGTTATTATTATTTATTTTAATTACTGCACTTGACTTATTGTATGTTTGGAGTATCATAATTTATTCAATCAGTCTCCCCAGGTATTTAGGTTGTTCCAATGTTTTACTATTCTATATAACAGCGGTCGCCAACTGGTGGTCTACGGACCACCGGTGGTCTGTGAGGTCCAAAAGGTTGGCAATCACTGCTACATAATAAAAGGCTAATATGCAAATCGACCCAATGGAATGACCGGTTACTATCACACGCACTGACCACCAGGGGGCAGACACTCTCCCACAGGGGGAGCACCGCTCAGCCAGAAGTTGAACTCACAGCTGGCAAGGACAGCGGTGGTGGTGGGAGCCTCTCCTGCCTCCGAGGCAGCACTAAGGAGCAGTGAGCCTGGCTTCTGGCGGAGCGGCGCTCCCACAGGGGGAGCAGGCCTAAGCCAGCAGTCAGACATCCTCCGAGGGGTCCTGGACTGCGAGAGGGCACAGGCCAGGCCATGGGAACTCCCCATCCGTGTGCACGAATGTCATGCATCAGGCCTCTAGTAACAAAAAAAGCTGCAGTGAGTAACACTGGCATAGCTGTTCTAACTCTGTGGAGAAGCTCTTCCATGTAAACACCTAGAAGCCTTGCTGGGTCAAGCAGTAAATACATATGTGGTTCTGACAACTCCCCTTTATGGGGCTTGGGCTGCTCTGCCCTCCCACTGACACTGGATGAGAGACTTTCTGAAGCATTGCCACCGAGTACTAATGATAGAGCCTGTGCTTGAACCCAGATATGCCAGCTCCTGCTCCAGAACCATAAGCCAACTGCGAATGCCACACTGCCAGTTCTTTGAAAGTTATTCCGTCCTCTGCCCCACTCCAATCTCTCTGATGTTGGCAGAAGACGCCTAGGGTCATAATTAAGTAGTTCAAAAACTGACAGTCCCAGAGACTGGTGTGCCAGACGGAAACATCACTCGCTCTTCAATCTGGATGTGACCATGTGACTGGCTTTGGCCAATGGGACATTAGCAAGTGTGATACATGCAGAAGCTTGGAAAGTGCTTGGGATTTGGAGCTTGTCCCCGTGTGCGGCTGAGACGACCGTATGAAGAACCCGGCGCCACCTCCCAGAGGATGAGAGACCTTGCTGTCCCAGATGCCACAGCCTTCCAGCTGACGCAGCAGGCATGTGAGGCCATCCTAGAGCACCCAGCCCCAACTCAGCAAGCCCATACCAGAAAAGCCACCCCACTGGCCCACAAAACCATGAGAAATAAATCACGATCGTTTTAGGGCACTATGCATTGGGGTTGTTTGTTACACAGCAGAGGTTAACTGATACACTAGGCTCCTCACCGCTGAAGTCTCTGCTTGTCATGTCTGCTGGTCAGTGACCCCTGTGGACCCTCATTCTTCTAGGGCTGTGTCTTGCTTTGCCATCTCTCTCACCCTGTCCTGACCACAGGAATAGCGTCCTCCCTGTGAACTCTGGCTAGGACTACATTGTAACACTCTTTATGATTTAAAAAGCACCTCCATGCCCTAACCAGTTTGGCTCAGTGGATAGAGCGTCGGCCTGGGGACTTAAGGGTCCCAGGTTCGGTTCTGGTCAAGGGCATGTACCTTGGTTGCAGGCACATTCCCAGGGGGGAGTGTGCAGGAGGCAGCTGATTGATATTTCTCTCTCATCGATGTTTCTAACTCCTATCTCTCTCCCTTCCTCTCTGTAAAAAATCAATAAAATATATATTTCTTTAAAAAGGCATCTCCACATCCATGACCTCCCCTATCTAACCACACCATGCCTCTGACAGATCAGCATCATTATCCTCACTTCTCAGGACAAGTAACTGAAGCTCAGAGAGGCTGTCAGGTGTCCTAAAGCCACAGCCAACCAGCGAATCTTCCGACTCCAAACTCTGTGTTCTTTTTCCTGCATCCCATGTGGTGGCCTCCCAGCTGGCAGATGCCCCTACTGGTAACCGTTTGCCTGGACTTCTGCGCGTCACCTACATTGGACTCTTCACCTTAGCCTTGGCCGCCGTTGAAACACCTGCTGCTGGACCCATGTCGGGCCTCCCAGATGCCAACCACCTGCCAGCCACCTGCTGTCTGCAGCCAGACCCCTGGATTTATCACCTTCCTGCCAGATTTGACTTCCCTCCAGCGCCTTTACTTCTCTGGGTTTGTCCCTCAGGCCCTGCCCCTCCCTGGTCCCAGATCTAACCAGCCTGGCCCCTCCCACACTGTCTGCATCCCCAGAGAGAGGAGGCAAGCCCAGCTCCATAAGGGTAAGATAAAAAGGTTAATAGCTACCACACGCAATTCCACTCGGCTCCATTCCTATGGGTTTCTGGGCCACTTGGCCGGGAGAACCACGCCTTTATAGCTGGATCTTTGATAAAAGCACTTTGTCTATTAGATTAGAAATGTACTGCTACATACATAATCATTAAAATCGGTAACGAGGAGTCAGAAGTAGGTCCCGTTATCCAAAGCAAGTCACATGGTCAAGCCCAGATTGGAGAGTAGAGACAGCCCTTTGATGCAAGAAGTGGGAAAGTTACATCACAAAGGGTCACACCGGAGGAGATGGGAAGGGTTTTCCTGAGCTCCGGCAGGAGAAGGGCGTTTATTTACAGCCTGACACAGTACGTTGGCAACCTCTCTGTCAGGCTGTACTGTGAGGTCCCAGGAGATGACAGACTTGGGCTCCATCAGGAGAAGAACAAGCTGACAGTTCATTGCCATAGCCCTGGTACACGGTGAGCACACAATAGTATGTGTTGAATAGATGATGGATGACTGAGTGACTGAATGGTTAAGTGGATGACAGGGCCGGCCAGCCAGCAAGCCCATCATTGGAGAGCCCATCAAATAGGTTAGACAAAGCCCCAGAGAAGGCGACTGAGGGGGTCATGCTTTGGAGGGGACTGGCTAGAGGACCTTCTAACCCTGAGCTTCTGTCAATCCGAGTGACTTTCCTTATGTCATTGGCAGTCTCACTGCCAAAGCCATAGCTAACGTGACCCAGGGGTGATGTCGTCTAATAAATCCAATTCTGAAATCAGCTTTGGAAGGTTCACAATGTGCATATCAGCAATTCCATTGCCAAGGGCCCGCCCTAGAGGAACTCTCACAGTGCAGAAGCAGAGGGGTGTGAGGACGTGCACATCCTCATGCAGCACTGTCCTTAATACAGGCAAATAGGCCACAACGTCCCTGCCCTTCAGTGTGGAAACCAATGAATAAATACACTGGTCAGGGCACATGCAGGAGGCAATCATTTGATGAGTTTCTCACATTGATGTCTCTCTCTCTCTCACTCTCTCTCTCTTCCTCTACCCTTCTCTCCCTGCCTTCCACTCTCTTTAAAAAGCAATAGAAAAAAATATCCTTGAGTGAGGACTAAGAAAAAAGCACACAAAAACGTTAAAAAATAAAATAAAAACACATATAAAGAGGCATTTACATCTAAATACATATATAGGCAAGCTATGCAATTCAGGATTATGACATCATCAACCTCAAGTGGATCCTGCTCCCTGGCTTTGCTGAGTTCCCGCTCTCCTCCCCTTTAGTGATTAGCTGAACCTTTACTTCCAAATTCCTCCTATTTTCCTGCTCAACCCCCGATCCCGAATTCCCAGCAGATGACTGCCCCGCCTCCGCTGGAAAATCTGAGCAATTACACATGATTCCATGCAACGCCCAGTTTGCCTCCAGCACAGCACTGGCACCTTTCTCGCCTTCCCTCCTCCTCCTCGGGAGAGGGGCTCCTTCTTCACCTCCCCCCCCCCCCCCCCCCCCCCCCCCCAGCACCAGCCCCACCCTTTCCCTCTGCAGAATCCAGGGTGCCTTGCTACTCTCCCCCCTCACCTTCCAGCCCCAACACCAAGTACTGCCAATTTTCTTCCTAAATATTTCTTCACCTTCCCGTCCCTCAAGCCCTGTTGTTACCAGAGGTGTGGTTCAGAGCGACCCCCCGCCTCAGTCTCTCCAACTCCATGAGGCTGCCAGAGGGATGCTCCTAAAATGGCCATATTCCATCCTCACCCTCCTGCTTAAAACCCATGGAAGACTCCATCCATGTGACTCACAGGACATCACAGGACCATGTCCAAGCACCCGGGCCCAGCCCCCAGTGCCTCCACCACCTGCCAGCATCTCCGAAGCTCCCACCCGTCTCACACCTGAAACTCCAGCCTCACGCCAGTCCCCTGTACACTCACTCCCGACTCTTCTCACCTTTGCTTCAGCTTCAGCTCTTCCCATGGCCCAGGATGCCCTCCCCTCCCTCCTCATTCTTCAAGACTCAGCTTAAGTGGCCCTTCCTCCAGGAAGCCTCCCCTGCCTAGCCCGGGCTGAGTTAGGCAACTGTCCTTTATGCTCCCAAATGCCGACTGCATCTGCCCCTGTCACTGCTGTTACCAACTGTTTAATAACTCCCCCATTGAGTGAGTCTTTTACCCGCCTGATGCATGGCAGGTGATCTTGTAAAAATGTCTGCACAAAATGCCCTATGACAGAGGGATAGGCAGGATGAACTCTGGAGATCCCACACAGGCATGCTCTCCCCACTCCCATCACAGTCCACAAGCCGGCAGACACCACACAAGCTTCCACATGGGCATGCCCCACACTCAGCAGCCAGGCCTGGCACAGCTCCCCGACCTACAGTCCCCCAGCTACCATCTGGGCATGGATGGTCATGTATACCCCCCTCCAGGGGTCCTTGTGCCACATGCCCCATTCCCAGGGCCCTGTATGTCCAACACCCCATCCCCGCTGTGCCTCCCCAGACACAGTGCCCTGGTACCTGCCTCCTGGAGCACTATACCTTGGCCAGGGATCTTACTATGGGACTTTCCATAATGCCTCGCAGGAAGATCAGGTCCAGTTCTGCAGCCCCCGTGGCATTGGGGAGGGAGCCCAAGTTGTCCAGGACTTGCTGCATGGCTGCGGGGAAGGGGTAGGCGGTGAGACACACAGGTGCCAGCTAGGCACCAGAGACCAAAACGCATCACAACCGCCCCACCTCACGCCCCACAGAAGGCAGCCCTGCCCCAGCAGCACCTCCCTCCCTGCCAGGCACGGGAATGCCTGGGGTAGGGCCCTCGAGGGGAGTGGCCGTGGCCTGTTCTGCAGGCCCTGGGTAATGCCAGCCTGGGCAGGTGGGAGGCCCCAGGCAGGAGGAAGTAGACTCTGATGTGGGAGGAGAGGGGAGAGGGCAGCAGGCGTCAGGTTCCAGGTTCTGCCCTGCACCAGGGAATCACAGGCTCCTCACTCCAACTCTGAATGGACTGAAGCCCCCGGACTCAGCCACCTGCCCCTGAAGGGCTCAGGACTGAGAGAGAGACAGTGCTGGGTCATGTTCCTGACAACAGGCTGCCATGCAGGAAGCCAGGGCCCACACGTTAGCTAGTGCATGCCTTGCCACCAATTCAGTGTGATTTTGCATAACTCACTGTTTCTCACTGGTCTCCATCTTTCCCTCCTATATAACGGGTGGGTTGGATTAGATGGTGTCTATAAGCCCCTCTGCTTTGATAATGATCTATAATCATCCAGAAATTAATATAGATCCTAGGAAGCCAAAGTGAGGCCCAGGACATTGGCAGGAGCTGGGAAAACAGGCCTGGAATGGCTGTGGGCGCCCAAGGGCAGAAGTCAGACTAAGTTATTCCCGGGATCCGCAAAACCTCAGCCGGGGAAGGGACATAACCAAGGACATGAGGCCCCTGATGCTGGGCCCCAGCAGCGTCGCTGAGACCTGAGGTAGGTGTTGCCATCAACCCCAAGAGAGGAGGGAGCTGCCAGCTGTGGCAGGTTCTGGGGGAGGAAAGGAGAAGCAGTGTGCCCAGCTGGGGGCCAGAGATGGGCAGGGGGTATCATTAACCTGCCACCCTGCCACCCACACCTACATCTGCATAACAGCCCCCAAGCCATGGAGGAGGAAGGGTGGAGACCGCCCCTGGCACCCCTTACTGCTCTTGCCAATGCCTCCTCCTCCAGGAAGGAATGGGAATGGGGAGGAGGAGGAGGAGGAGGCACTGAAACTGGAGCTGGCAGACATGGTTCAGGGGCTCCTGGACTCCCACCCTCCTCCCCCTCCTTCACCCCACCTTTTCCAGAAACAACATCCTAGTCGGTCCTTCAGACCCCACCTGCCCAGGCCTGGGCTTGCCATTGGTCAGAGACCTGTAAGACCCCTCGGGGGCTCAGAAAGATGCCATGGACCCTTCCCACTCTGCAGGGTACCTCGGGGTCCACCGCCTTAGCTGTCCTCACACACAGACTGCCCAGCCTGCCCTCTGCCTAGGCCCGCTCTCCGGAGGGGCTGTGCCGCCGGACCCTCAGGCTCCCGGAAGCCCGTACCTGGGACACCCTCTCCAGGTGCCTACAGACCCTGTGGGGCCAGCTTTCCCCGCGGCCTCCAGACCCTCCTTCCTACCTTTCCTTCGGAGGTCGGCTTCCTCAGAGGATCCCCGGGATGTAACCCCCAAGGAGGCCCCGCTGCCTGGGCTGCCCGCCGAAGCGGCCCCCCACCCGGCCCCGGACTCCGGGAGCAGCCTGCACAGGCTCAGCCGCCCTGACCGCCTTGCTGATTGGTCAAAGGCGGGGGCGGTGGGAAAGAGAGTCCCAGTCCTGCCGCTGGCTGGAGCCCCCTCGGTTCAGTACCAGCCAGTGGGAGGGGAGAGGAGGGGGCTGAGAGAGGGGCCGGGGGTGCTGCCCCTTCAGATCTGGGGCGGCGCTCAGAGACCCTCCCCTCACTGCCCAGCTGCAGGACACCCAAGGCGGGTGGGGACTTGGCCCCACCTTGTTCCCGCCCTCGCTTCTGAAGGTCTGTCCTCTAATACACACCCACGCCACCTCCTCCCCGTGCCCTCCGACCTCTACTCTATGTCCCCTCTCCAGGCCCAGTTTCCTTTACAATAACCCCCTCGAATCAAAGGAAACACCTCTCCCACCCCCACCCGCCCAGAGCGACTCAGTCCTCCGCCTAACTCAGCCATTGGGGGTGAGGGGTGACAGGGAGAAAAGGGAGGGGAATGAGAGGTGGCACCACTGTGCCTGGGAAGGGTACCTTAAGCCCTTCTGACCCCACATCTCAGCTGTAGCTTCTCCGGGTCCCCTATCTCCCATTAATTCTTCCCCTTGGATAAGAGGTGACTACCTGGTGGGCAAGTCGGGCATCTTGGAATTGTGGAAGGGAGAAGTGAGGGAGCATTCTTGCAGCAGGGACAAGGGCGGTAGAAGGGAGAGAGTTGGCATTTACCCCAGCCCAGGGCCTCCATTACTCTCAAACCCTGTACCCATGAGGTCACCAGGTGCTGCTCCTGCCACCAGCTCTCCATTCCCGGGGGAGTGGCACCAGCTTGCATTGCACCCCTGGTTGCCACGGCAACAGGAGGGCTTACACACCAGGACTGTTAACCCTGGGATGCAAGAAAGATTTAAAGGGACAGCTCCATCTGAATTCAGCCTACATCCCCTCTGGAGTCAAAGAAAGAAAGGAATCAGGTAAAGGGAAAAGACAGGACCAGGCTGCCAGTCTGGAGACTCCAGGGGTAAGTTCTCTCCACTCTCAGCCCATGCTATCCCCTACATATCCCTCAGTCCACCCCTAATGCTCAGGGAAAGGGCCTGGAGGTCTCTCTGCCAGAGGAATACACCCATCCCACGCCCCCTCCACAATGACAATGACCATCTTGACCAAGGGGAAGGGTGGGAGAAGGACCTTGCCAGCTTCACTCTCTGCAGAGCCCAAGGCTGGGATCTCTCCCGAAAGGAAGAGGCAAGTGGGAGGGTAAACCTGACCTCAGAGGCTGGGGCACAGTTGTCTCTCAGGCCTGTAGGAAGTGTACTGGCCACCAAGTGAGGAGGGACAGAACCCACCGTTAGATTTTTTAGGGCAGAAGCTACTCCTGGGCACGGAGGGCTGCCTGCAGGAAGGGCTAAGAGCCTCATAGCCTCTAAGTCCCGCATCACCTCTTCACAGAAGATGAAACAGGCTTCGGGAGGTGCAACAGCTGACTCCTGTCCTTTCGGTTTGGGAAGGGAGGAGCAGCCCAGGGAAGCAGGGGCCCCAGGAGTCCTCAGAGGAAATAAGCCCCATAGCCACACCCCTGGGCTCCCCTCCCTGCCCTGACCGCCCCCCTCACCCCACCGATGCCCCCATCACCTGGCCTGCAGCGAGGGAGCTAAATTGGTGGACCTTCTCCTCCCTCTGCACCCCTGCCAGGCACTATTAATGGGTTTACTGGGCAGCCCCAGATTGAGAGGCCTTTAATCACAGGCTCAGGGATGGGCTTAATTAACCCATAAGCAGCTTACAGTGGGGCCCAAGCATGCCAGAGCAGGGGGGGGCGGGGCCAGGGGACCCAGCGGGCTGGACAGGAAGTAGAGGCACTGAACCTCCCAAGGCTGCAGAAGCTGGGGGACATTGGTGCAGTCCCTCCACGGCAGGAAGAAGAGGCCTTTCCTGGGGGACAATGGTGCCACAGTTTAGGTTCTGGCCCCTCACAACAGTCTTCACTTTCCTGGCTCAGTTTCTCAGAGGAGAGCAACAGTCATTTTAACGCCATTAGGGGCCTGGGACACCTTGCAGAGGCAGCTGCAGGGCCTCCAGCAAGGGCTACTTGGGAGGGAGGCACCTAGGCCATGAGAAAGACAGACAACTCAGAGCAGGTTAGAGCTGTAGGGCCTTTGGCCTCTAGCACAGGGAACTTCGCCTGGTGGTCCCTAAATGCACGTAAGCGGCCATGAACCCCAGAGTGGAATACAGATTTTGTGAAGAGAAGCATCTATATATACAAAGCCCAGCAACTGGAACGGCAGAACAACCAGAACGACCAGAACAACCGGTGGCTATGAAACCCACTGTGGCAGCCAACCAGCCTGATTCAGGCCCTCATTGCCTCCCCCTCCCCCACCAGCCCGCCCTGATCAGCCCCTAACACCCCAGTGGGGGCGGAACTGGCCACCAACTGCCTGCAGCCCTCCCCCCACCGGCCTGGCCCGATGGGCCCCCACTAGGGTGGCCCGCCAGACCCCCCCCCCATGCATGAATTCGTGCACTGGGCCTCTAGTTTGTCTATCATGAAGGCCATGGCTGTCATCAGGTTCTCAAAAGGATCCAGGACCAATGACCTTGTCCCATCACCTCATCTTACAGATGGGGAAACCTAGGTCCCAAAAGGGAGGGATGACTCAAGGTTACAGGTTAATGAGGTAATAATTTGGAGCATGGCATGATGAGTGACTGTTCCTAATGGTAACTCTCATTCTCTGACATAGCCTTGGAGGCTCCCATCAACCTTTTTACAGAACAGAAAACGGGCTCTGGGAGGTTAAACAGCAGCTTGCTCCTGAGGCTTCCTAGCTTGTCTGGGTGGCCCATTCCCTTGCCCTAAAAGCTCCTACAGAACCAAGTTGAGGCTTCCTGATCCGGCATCCTCCCTGCATAGCGTCCTATGCCCCTGCACACACACACACACACACACACACACACACCCATCAATAGCTGGTCTACTTCACCTATCTGGGGGGCACCGCATCATGGACTTCTCATCCCAGGCTGGGCTGCTGTTGTCCCTCTACCTCAGCCATCCTCCAAGGCCCAGCTCCTAGGGGGTCACTTTCTCACCACCCAGGTCCCATGCCATAGTCCTCCAGCAATAGTGAGTGTGCGTTATCTTTGGAGCATTCATACCCCTGCTCTCCGAGGAAGTGTGTTAAGCTCTGTCTGCAGCGCTACCCTGGGGCAGGTGTGGGAGGGCCACGGAGTTGCCTGAATGAATGGCTGAGTGGCTGGGTGGATAGTGGTGCTCCTACAGGGACCTGTGGGAGTGCCTGGTAGCTGCTCCCCACCCTGCCTGGCACCCTCTGAACCATTAATATTAATTGACTTCCTCTCCCTTTCTTACCAGTCTCAGAGTTGGTGGCGGCAACCGGCATGGTGAGGTCGGCAAAGGTTCCGTAATGCCTCTCCTAGAGGAGGGAAAAAGGAGGATGAGAAAGGAATCCGGAAGGACCTCCCACTCATGATCAGCCAACAAGGTAAACGGAATGGTCCCAGAGTCCTGGGAGGCAGGAAGAGCAGATATTTCGTGCCCAGTTCTTCGAGGAGGAGGTGACAGAGATCAGAGAGATCAATTGATTTGCCCAAGGTCACAAAGCTAATAAAGAGAGCTACAAAGAAAATCCAGGCTTTATGACTCAACAAAAAATTAAAAAATTAAAAAAAAATTATCCCCACCATCTGTTCTTTCTATTTTTTTTTAAATCCTCACCCAAGGACATGTTTATTGATTTTAGAGAGGCGGGGAGAGAGAGGGGGGAGGGAGAGACAGAGAGAGAGAGAGCCCTGAATCCGCAACCTAGGTATGTGCCCTGACTGGGAATTGAACCTGCAACCTTTAGGTATACAGGACCATGCTTCAAACAACTGAAGCCACACAAGTCATGAAGCTGTCCTGGATGTCTTTTTTTTTTTTTTTTTTTTTTTTTTAGATGGGTTGGGTAAGAATACAGAATTTGAGTCAAAGGCAGGAAAGATGGGTGTCCCCAGACAGTAAGCTCCATAAAGTCAAAAACCACATCTGTTTTATTTTGCCTCTGGATCTTAGGCCTAGCCCAGTGTAGATAGATGCTCCACAGATGTTGTCAGTCTGTCTGATAGGAATGATGTCATACCTCCCTAGGGCCTCTCTGGGTTCCCTTCTCCCCTTCTCCCCTTCCTAGCCCAGAGTTGGGACTAGGAGAGCAGGGGGCTTTGGGCAGAACCAGGTGTAGAGTTTACAGCCCTAGTTCCCATTCCAGAACCTCCCCGAGTTGGAGTTGGGTCTCCCATTTTTCAGGGAAAGGGGTGGGAGGGATTGGGGCGGGGCAACCCATCACCCTTCCTCCCTTTGCCTTCCTGGTTCTGTGCTGCTGAAGAAAACGCTAATTCCCAGTTGCCATGACAACAAAAGGCAGTGGCACACAGCAGGGGTGGGGAGTGGAGGAAGTTCCTGGCAGTGCCCACTTTAGGCCTGAATGTGTGCTGGCCCCGGGGAGTAGGGGAGCCACAACTTCACCTCCCTCCCAAAGAAAGGATTCTTCCCAGAGAGACCACGCCCTGATTTTAATAACACCCTCTCCCCTTCCCCTCCCAAGCCTGGGCGCAGATAGCAGAAATTACAAAGATGGCAGGACGACTCCCCTTCCTCCCGGATCTGCCCCTGAGCATGTGGAAGAAGGCAGCTTTCGGGGAGAGGAAGGGCACCTCCTGTCAGGCTGGCATCAGGCTGGGAAAAATGCTCAGGATCCACGGTGCCAGCCGGTGCCCCCAGCGCCAGGCCCCGCTGTCCCTGTTCCTAGAGAGCAGCGGGAAGGGCTCTCTTCCCCACCCAGGTCCAAACGACAGGGAGCCTGGCACCTTCTGGCGGCCGGCGCTGCTCTCCGGACACGGGTGCGGACGGAGGACTCCGGTGCTCCGCCCTGGGTAGAGGGGGGAGGGTGGGAAGACACGGGGGGATTCTGGCTCCAGAAGCCTGGCCCGGCTGCCTGCGTTTTCTCCCCGAGGAGTCGGTTCCCACGGCAGCGGCTCGCCTTGCCCACCCCCAC